CTTTGCAATGTTCATTACAGGAAGCTCTTTTTGCGCTCATTTGAAACTTGACCGCCAGCTAGTAATTCTTGCTATGTATCATCAAATTTGACATTCAGTTTCCTTGGTTACAGATACCATTGCGAGCTACGCATGCATTTCCAAAGGCCAACATTCACTGTTGCACTTATGTTCATGTTATTGGTTTTGGAACAACTGCTGACACACATCTGTGGATGCAACGCTTTCTTCCTGCAACTTTGATTCATTTTACTTTCAAGCCAATTTGTTCCTTAGATTCAATTTCAGCACACTGACTGCTGGTCAGTTTCAATCCATTTGGTGCTATCTCCAATAATTAGGCCTTGCATTAACCATGCCTCCCTACAGAGTCTTTCCTTCCTCTTCCACCACCTCATCTGAACAGGAAGCACAAGCGCTTTCAAATGAGATCAGAGCTTTTGAGATTTAGATTCTTGATGATATTAACTATTAACCTGGCTCACGCGTCCCTTCCTCTCTACGACTCGAGCGGTCGATGCCTAAGTGGGTGATTGGCCTCCGGGCAGCAGAATCCATGCATGGCCGAAATTAAATTCGTGAGCCGCAGATGACTTTGCTGACCTTCCGGCTTCCTGAGTTTAGTGGAAATGATTGCCACATGCAGCGAGTGCTAATTAACCACCCTCAAAGCACTCCACTAATCATTCTGATCTCTGTAGAGATTATGAGAGTGACAGTGCGTTGCTTTTCACCTGTACGGATGGATATATACAGTAGGTCTCTCAACAGAGGCAATGCATTTTATTTGTGTTAAGTTTTACGCAGCCAGGAGAAACATCCTGTTTTGTCATTTCCTTTTTCAGAAAGGGAAATGGCACAAAAACTACTTACTCCACCATGAAATAACCTTTACAGATACTGATCTGAGCTTTTCTTCCTACCAGTAGAGACACATTTGCCTCCAGATTATGTAGGTCCATTGTGTGACCTGAACCATGTTCTACTCCAAGAAAAGCTGAAAGGTTGAGCCACAGCACTAACGCCAATATCAGCGGCGTCGTTTCTTAAAAATGCTTTGGGCACAATGATTATTATCTGTGTGAATGAAGGTGGAATTAAATTTCCCTTTTTCTTATATTGTTTGTTGTTTCTCGAGTTTTGGATTTTCAGTAAAGAAGAACATAAGAATTGCAGATAATAATGAAGTCAACATGGAACATAGGGCTTTGGAGTTGACGTCACACCGCAAGGTATTGTGGGAGCGCGGCGCCATTTTCCTGGGCCACGAATCGTCGGAAGGACAACTGCATGAAACGTGCTTGAAAGCAGCTCAAAAGAAAATGGACGGTATAGAGACCGATTGCGTCCGGAGGTGAAGTGGCGGTACTTGCAAAAAATAGAGTGCATCGCAAATGTGGACGCCTATGAAATACGCCAGTGGAGTAGAGACCCAGACAACTTACCGCTATCGTCCTACCCCGGTATCTTTACGTAGCTTGTTTGTGGAGTCAGAGCATACACAGCGAACCAGTTTCGTAATTACAAATCGCTGGAGGCGCACATCCAGTTTACTAATGGCTGGGTGCAAACTGTGAGTACGTCATCATTCAAACCAAGGTAAGTCAGCTGGAGTGCGCCGAGTATAATAGCCACTGTCCACCCCCCACCACAATTAATGTTATACATTTATCCATGAATTGCAAAAATCTCGTTGTCATATTATGTCTCCATAATTGTAAAGTAGATGCAAACTACTACATTGATAATCCGGTTAGATATTACTTAAAACCCTTTGGTTGGGGTGGGG